GAAGGAAGGAAGGAAGGAAGGAAGGAAGGAAGGAAGGAGATTATAATGAGAGTGGGGGAGGGTCTCAGGGAAGTCCTACCTTAGCACTTGACCACCACAGGTGCCCCAGACACGAGTCCGGTGTCACGTCTACCATGGCTACGCGCATCCCTGGGCACACTCACCATGGCCACCACCCCTGGCCCTCTGAGGTCAAACACAACCCAGATGCAACCCTCAATGAAATTGAGTTTGACACCCCTGCTCTAGATTGTGCTGATGATAATGAAAATATACATATTTTCATCAGAAGATATGGCATTAAGAATTTAGTACATGATTGTAACTACCTAGAGTGTGGCCGGTAATATTTTTTTGCAGAATTGAATTCCACAGTCTGATGTGATTGTATTCCTCCTAAATATCCCCATTTCTCGGCATTTTGTGTTGACCCTGATTTTTAGTATATTATGACTTCTCCATGTCATATAAGTAGTCCTCAACTTATAACCATTTGTTTAGTGAAAGTTTGAAATTACAACAACACTGAAAAAAAGTGACTTATGCAAACTTACAACCATTGCAGCATCCCCACGATCACATGATCAAAATTTGGGCATTTGGCAACTGGCATGTCCTTTGGGTCACGTGATCACCATTTGTAACCTTCCCAGTTGGCCTTTCACAAACAGAGTCAATAAGGGAAACCAAATTCACTGCATGATTTACTTAACAACTGCAATGATTCATGCAACAACTATAGCAAAAAATGTGGTAAAATGGGTCAAAATTCACTGAACAATTGCCTTGCTTAGCAACGGACATTTTGGGCTCTATTGTGGTCCTGAGTCAAGGATTATCTGTACTTATTTTTTACACACTTTACTTTCTCTGAGTTTTTTTTCCCTAAAGTTTCAGAAATCCAATCAGAAATATTATACTTAGGACAGTTAGATCAACTTTTGATCATTTGAGTTCCATTCTATTTTCTCTGCTTTTCCTAGGCTACAATGTTATGTTTTCTGCTTTCTAGTAATTGTTCTTTTACTTATTTGTTCAGCCATTTAGAAGTATGAATCAATTTCTTATTTATTCCCTACTAAGTCAGAGTCTGTGAACATGTATTTAACGAATAGGAATTTGGGGGGCCTGTGTGTAAATCTCAGTATGGATTTTTATATTGAATTTGTCTGTGTTATTTTAAGATTCATTTTCCAATTTTGAAAGATCTTTTTAAAATGTCTCTGTGTGTGTTACTGTCCATAAATAATGTACGTCCCTCTTAGTTATTTGCTCGTTAATGCCAGATCATTGGTGATAATTTGATTCTAAAAGAAAGAAGAGAAACTGATCTGTCCTCATGCAGTCCAGTGTGATCTTGAGCCCCTTGAAAAGGTCGAAAACTCTGTATCACTGCATGACAATATCAGACAAACTCTGAATTAGTTAGTGGAGAGTCTAAACCAGGGGTATCAAACTCATATCGTCATGGCAGTGTCCTGTGACTAATCGGGACTTTTTTCTCCTTCGCTAAACCATGTGTGGGTGTGGCCAGCATGTGACACATCTGGCCCGCGGGCTGAGAGCCCTGGTCTAAACCAAGTAGGGATAGGAAACAAGAAATGTGGCTTTACAAATAATGAGCCACGGAGTGCAGTACTACAGGCTACTTCTATTGACGGCCAGCTGCCTGCAATTTGGCAGTTCAAATCTCACCAGGCTCAAGGTTGACTCAATCTTCCATCCTTCCGAGGTGGGTAAAATGAGGACCCAGATTGTTGGGGGCAATATGCTGACTCTGTAAAACACTTAGAGAGGACTGTAAAAGCACTGTGAAGCAGTATATAAGTCTAATTGCTATTCCTATTACAATTAATAATCTCTTTTATTTTTTATTTTTAATAATTTTGTGTGATGTTCTTCTACAGCAGACTCCGGTGAACAAGACGAGCACAATATACACGGTATAAGAGATGCAGCTCTTCCATCTCTGAATAGTAGCATCACCACTGTTCCCACCACGGAACCATCTGAGAAGCTCCCTCAATACCTACCTCCTTGTGCAGAGGAAAACTTGGGTCCTCTGCCTGAAAACTGGGAGATGGCTTATACAGAGAATGGAGAAGTCTACTTTATAGAGTAAAGTGTATTTTCATTTCTTTTTTAACCTTTAGGTTCCATAAATCTCTTTGGGTTTTGTCTACGGAGATTATCGGTCATTCAGGTCATGGTTGTCCCAAAGGTCAACTGGACATTCTGGCTTCTTGCTGAAGAGCTGAAGAAACTTCTTGGATGAGAAGCAAAAACGTCTTCAAAGAAAAACCAGAAAGTCCAGTTCCCTCTTGAAAAAGCAGCTTTGGGACTCTGGGTTTTCTGAATATGGAGAGGAATTCTGGAGAAGGGTTGAAAGTTGATTCATTTCTGAAGACATAAACTATGTACTTTTATCTGGCTTAACTTTGTAAAATCTTAGTCTTGTAAGTGGTCCCCATCTCAAGCTTTGAAGTTATAATAATCAAAATAGAGCTTGAAGGGCCTTTCGAGATCTTCTAGTCCAATCTCCTGCTCAGTCAAGAGACCCTATACCATTTCAGGCAGGTGGCTGTCCAGACTTTTCTTTAAAACTTCCAATGATGAAGGACTCACAACTTCTGAAGGCCAGCTGTTCCACTGCTCCACTTAATTATCCTCACAGTTAGGAAACTTCTTCTTAATTCCAGATTGCTTCTCTCCTTGATTAATTTCCACCCATTATTTCTTGTCTTGCCTTCTGGTGCTTTGGAATATAAGTTGACCCCCCCCCTTCTTTGTGGCAGCCCCTCAAATACTGGACTACTGCTGTCATATCAACCCTAATTCCTCTTTTCTTTAGACATAACCATACCCAATTCCTGCAACTGTTCCTTATATGTTTTAGTTTCCAGGCCTTTAATGATCTTAGTTGCTGGTTGGTTTGCTTTTTGAGAGAAGATTACTGGTATATAAGGAAAGAGAATAAAAAAGAAACAATTTGACAATGTCCTGGATGAATTGATGAGGTTTACACAGGCATTTAGATGGGACCAAGCTGATCTTCCATGATAACAGATCTTCTATTGATATATGCATTGTAATTAATCTAGTAGCCCTTGCTCCCCTGAGTAAGTACCATAGTGTGTTACTTTTCACCTTTGGAGGCCACTCCCAAATGGAATAATGTACTTTCTGTTACAGGCAAGATAAACTAAGCTTGTGATAATGACTAAGGCAAGATTGTTTTTTCCTTGTATGATAATGATGCTCCTTGGCTATTTGGAAGTGCAATCTCCAAGTAGCCTAGGTCAGTGGT